AGTTGTTAAACGGTGTTCGAAACAATGTTGCCAGGTCTACTGATTTTTCAGTAGATCTACTGATTTCGCTATTCGTCTACTAATATACTGATATCAATGTGAATTCTACTGAAAAAGCCGTGTTCATTATTATTGTTATTTTTATCCACTTTTTGAAATTTTTTTAAATTTTTAATCACAATATGAGCTATTTTATTTTTTAATCAGTAATATTTATTTTACATGATCAATTTTTTAATGAACTATTTTTTAAATACTTCTTATTGCTGTTTAATTTTCTATTGTTAATATGATTTGCTCGTTAATTTTATAGTCTAACTTTCTAACGAGTACAAATACTGTAAAATACGTATAATTACGGTTTACACTAATCGGAAGAGAAACCACTGCAACGTTAAAATGTTTTTGCCCCTTTAATTAGGCAACTCATTTGCCTACTGTTTTTTATTGAATTTTAGACAGGCAGTATACTGAACATTTTTTTGCCCCTTTAATTAGGCAACTCATTTGCTTACTGTTTTCTACTGAATTTTAGACAGGCATTATACTGAAAAAAATATTAGATATGACCTGGCAACACTGGGTCGACAGTGTTAAGTTTTAGTTCAGTGTTGCCAGTCTAGTACCACTATATGAGATCTAGTACATTTTTTAATAATCTACACTCTAAGCAAAATCTAATCCCTTTTTATTTTTTAGCGTGTTACCATTTGACTCGTGTAAAACTTGTTTCTTGTTTTGTTTTCGTTCACTGAAATACTTTTTTTTTAATGAACCAAACCACATCACAATTCATTGTAATATCTGATACATTTTACAGAATCTAGTACATTTTTATGCAATTCGGTACATTTTTTAGACAAATCTGGTACGTAACAAAAATATATTCTGGCAAAACTGTTTTAGTTGCAATGGAACAATTTACTGGCCTGCAACGTGCTTTTTGTATTCGTCTGTTTTATAAAAACAATGATTCTTGTATTCTTGTACGTTGTTTAGATAGAACTCATTATAACATAGCAAGAATGAAAGATATTCCAAACGCAAATTTAATCAACATTTAATTGAATTTGCAGTTGAGACATCATTCATTCATTCAAGAGCAATGTTGGAGCTCTCTCTGTTTAGTACATCCGTATTTTTAGCTGAAATTATAGCCGAGAAATATCTGCATAGCTTACGTTGTTTACATACAGTATGAACAATATTGGTCCCAAAATTAAACCCTGAGGAACTCCCATATTAATATCTAGTATATCAGAATTAATAGTATTGTAGTATTTCGACCGTTACACAAAAATCTTTCATTTCATCTCCCGGAATGGGCAAAATATGGCTACTTAGCCATTCTATGCGTATTATACATATATTTTTTTTTTCGTAAAGTTAATTCTGTGATTCTCAGTATTAAAGCCGCGATGTAAAAATATGGAAATTGCATGGCATTCTACGCGACTTGATCGTTTTTGCATTTCACATAGCCATTTAAATTGCTAAAAGGGGACACTATCGAGCTTGGCATCTCGGTCTATCTCGTTGGTCGTCTCCGTTTACTCGCGATATTATAATCTTCTTGCTACGTAAATGCATATATAACCGGTTGTGTGTTGAAGTCCTGCCGACGGCCATCTTGAATGGGTTAAGCTACAAGAACAACGTACCCACTGGATGGATCCAATATGTATCTAGACTACGACCAGCTAAAAGAGATTTTCTGCATGTATATACGAGCCCAGAATCAATATCATTTTTCCATTCAATATTATATTTTTAATTTTATTTTAGACTGCTTTGGTTAATGCAAAAGAAAATTCTTCTAAATCCAACTATTTTTATTGTAATTTGAGAAATAATGTGTATCAACATTTTTTAAAAAAAATTAATATTAGTAAATTGGATATAACGCACAGAATATTAAGTTAAAAAAGGTATCAATGAATCATTTCGTTTGGCCTATATATTTAAAATCATATTAGCTTTGTTTTAAAACAATTGTTGATTGCTGTCAGTAACACTTCAGCAGTTGTAAGTACGAATATTTAACGTTATCAAAATGTTCTGATGTTAAAATTGCTAAATAACTGCAATTAACATATTATACTCTGCGAAATATCGTCAAAATATATAAAACGAAAGGAGCAGGTTAATATAACAGCTGGATCATACAATTTTTAACAAAGCTATAAAGATTTGCTACATATAAAGAAAAAATCAATGATTCTAGAATGGATCCACCTTCCATAACAGCTTCTAAAACAACTGTGTCAGCACTATTGTTAAAATAATTTTTTTAATAATAATTTTTTTAAAGTATTTTATGATCCTAAAGTTACAGACCTTCCTCTAATATTTATATTGTTTTTTTTTTTAATATAAAAGTTGAAACCAGATTAACTAGATTCTATTAAATTTCACCGCATTAAAGTTTTTTTAAATTAACATACACACAGAGTGTTTTGTTAGAGGATATTTTTTTCAAACGTCATTAAATTTCCATAATTACTTTTACACACATCAATTTTATAATCAAAATTATCCTATTAATTTATTCTAATTATAATAGTACCTAAGTACTTAATAAAAATGGATATGCGTGCTTATAATGATTCTATAAAGATAGACGTTAAATTATTTAAATAATTCTACATGAACATTTTTTTTTTGTTTTATAGCGCAATATAATTACAATTTTAATTATTTATGTATATCTATAAGGAAGTCAATCATCAAAAAGTTATTGGTTATTATGAAATGTTCATAAAATGACACTTTACTTAATCTATACAAAGGAATCTAAATGGCCTAAACACAGAACCCTGTAATCCTCTACGCGTATTTTAAAATTTCGTAAGTCAAATAACATACGTGATTCATTTGTCATAAGTCCAAAATTATTACTATCATTTTTAAAATATCGTATGGACGTACACGAAACATTATTTGTAAGGAACCTTCCCACATATCTCCTAAAAAGGCCTTGGGTACTATATTCATAAATGCAAATCATCTTGTCTTCTATTGTATTTCCAAATTTTTATACGGTAAATAAAAGTCGTAAATAATAGACAGAAAAGTAAACATGCATGAATAAGATGTCAGTACTATATTGTAAGAATTATTTAATTATTTTTCAGACGGGGTCAAAAAAGTACTAGATTGATATATTTTTAGCTTATTTACGCGCATGTGCATAAAAATATAGACTCATCATCAACAATAAATTGTCACTGTTGTAGTATTACTTATACTTGGTTTTTGGGATTATAGAATCTTTATTTAATATAGGAAGTCCTAATATATAGTAGTTTTTAAAAAATATTACATATTATCGTCAGTCTGCACAAATTCAGTTGAATAAATAAAATAAAATAAAATCTTGATAGAATTAATAATAAAAAAAAGTAAGACGTTTAGTACTAAAGTTTTTAATATTACAAACTCATAAAGACCTTTTACTTTACTATAACCAAAAAGCGATCCTGAAATATTTTAAACCATTTTTAACATTTTGTCGTTTTAAAAACGATATTTTAAATAACGTAATCTTTAAAAAAATACCGTTTTTTAAAAAACTTTGCACTCAAAATAAAGCTCCTATACGTTTTGCAGCTTTGAAATCCCTATGGTTTCATCATTTGAAAATGCTCTTTTAACAAAGAACGTCGTAATAATAACAATTTTATACATTATAGATACCTTTCCTTAAGATGGCTTCATTTTTTAAAAAACGTCATGAACGTTTCTAACATCAAACAACTTTAAAGAGGTCTCAAATGTATAATGTTCAGAAAAAATACAGAATTCACGTTTCTTATATTTCATGTGAACAAATATTTACCAAAATGTTCTAACGCTCATAAACGCGACGTTATTAGTGATTATAAAATAATTAGTGATAATTAGTGATTATAAATAATATAAAATAATAACTTATAAACGTCATAAACGTTTCTGACATCTGACACTTTCAAAACGAAGTCCTCAAATGTATAACGTTCAGAAAAATGACGGCATTGACGTTTCTGATATTAACTAATAACAAATAATTCATCAGGATGTTTTAACACTTAGAAATGCCATGTTTTCAATGATTATAAAATATGACAGGCTAAAAACGTCGGTTTATTGGTTTTTTGTATTGAAATCTTATAAAAACACATTTTACTGCAGGAAAACAAAAAAAGCGCCCCTAAAATGTTTTAAACTATTTTTAACAAAGGACGTTTATACAAACGTCGTTTTAAAAATAAATGGTTTGACATGACATGACATGACTAGGTACAGCAAACACCACCTGTTGTTTTTTGTAGTTTTAAAAAACGTCGCGTTTTTAAACTTTTAAGGATGTTTAAAAGTTTAAAAACGCGACGTTTTTTTAAAACTACAAAAAACGACAGATTAAAAACGTCGACGTTATTTTTTAGCATTTCAGATGTTGATTTACCTAGCTTTACATATTGTAATCTATCAGTCAATAAGAATGTTTCTCTTCCCAAAAAGTATTTTCGTGTTTTTTTAGAGAATTCTTGTCTTCCTAAAAGTTTATTGAGAACATTTTTAGTTTCATAGCAGCATTTTCTTTCTTCTAAAAGATATATTAGGACCATTTACTAGTTTTTTTTATTTGTTTTGGGTAGATGCATTGCTATCAACAATTGTTGGAATATTATTTATGCATTTTATAGTTTTGTTTTCACCGTCATCTAATTACGTACTCTCTTTGCGCTTTTGTTTGATCAGTAAAAATTATCGATCAGTAATAAATTATAACATTCAGCTTTAACGACAATCCAATGTCAAAAATATTTACAATTAATGCCATATTTCCCAGGTTAGAAGCCATTTTAACCGCAAAAAGTGATATAACCTCAAAAATACCACTAAATAATGTCATTTGTCAACTTTTTGTCAGTAATCACAGCTAGTAGATTCAATAACTGTCAAATGTCATTACATTGCGCTTCTAAAAAAATTTTTAACCGTGTTTTGTTCTTTTTCAGGTCCACGAACTGTGCGACAACTTCTGCCATCGATATATAAGCTGTCTGAAAGGCAAAATGCCCATAGACTTAGTGATAGACGAAAGGGACGGGGGGAAACCCCCTGAGTTAACGGGTTCCACGAACGGTGACGGTGGTACCAGAAGTAATGCAGATTCGACGTCGCACACGGACGGTGCTAGTACTCCGGATGTCGTAAGTATTTCTAGTTTTTTATTATGGCCTTTTACTAATCGCTTATCCAGTCTTTTGACCGACATCCCGTCATCCTAGCGATCTAAAACACGATTTTTAAGAGATAAATAAGAAAGAACAGTAAAAACATCGCGAAATAAAGTTTGTTTGGGCTTGTCTATACAATAATAGAGCTTTTAATTATGTATATCAGTTGTTGTAACAGAAGCACGTTGTCATTATTGGCGTTAAACGTCAAAATATTTGACAGGAATCATATTGGCACTGCAAAAACCATTTGTTTCATTGTTTCATGGGTATAATCAGAGTGTTGAAACAATTTTGTATAAACTAAGAAGTATAAATAACAAAGAGAAGAGGGCTAAGTACTGAACCTTAGGGAATACCTTGAGAACTTCACCAGATTATAACGAATCTTTTAGTTTTTGATGCTACTTTCTCTAAGTCAGTAAATAAAAATGGTTTTAAATGCTTATCTCAAGAATTTAGGTTTCTTGTTAAGTAAATCGAACCGAAAATAATGCTACAAACGTTTAGAAGACGAACGTCAATCACACGAAACCATCTTCAGGGCCCGAGAGCTTACAAAGATCAATTTGTAAGAGATTTCGTTTCGAGAGAAATCAAAGATGACTTCTTAGATAACTCCGAGGCTATCTGTGATCTCCGATGAAGTATGACTAGGCGAAAAAATATTAATGAGCTACTAAGATGGGATTATGTGTGATAATGGACGGTTTATTATCTGGATTTGTACAGGATGTTTATCGTATAGGCGAGTCTAATGTTGGAAGGGTATTTTTAAAGCTATTTTTCACTAAATCAACAAATACTGTCTTTTTTTAATAATTATTGACGTATAGTGACGAAATTAGCAGTACTGAAGTACCTCAAGGAACTACTTTAGGACTGGTATTGGATACAATATACAGTATGGTGCGAATGAAAGGATTAAATTAATTATTTCCTAACCTGTTAAAAAATCCAGTTATTTTTTTTATCTTGAAAAGGTTATAGTTCTATTATTATGTCAGGATTGATCCTACGGCTCTGTACAACGATTCATTATGGGAGTATGTCCTAAAACAATGCATTTTCGCGGGTGCATGACGACCGAACGGTATTACAGAGATCTGCCTTCTAGCCACAATGAATAACCGAAATTCGCCATATATCTCGTCGGGAAATTCTTCGAATTTCGCATCCATCGCGTCGAGTGACAGCCCAAAGGATGGCCGAAACGTCGAAACAAATCACTGACATTTTATATGAAACGCGTCGAGTTTTAGTACGGTCATTTTAGGCGTGAAAATGGAAAATGCGTGTCAAAAATTTTCGTCGTTATATTGATGACATTACAAGGTATTAGCACAATAATATCAGTAAGATAAAACATCATACTTCCGTAAAAATATTGTTATAAGAGTATTAATACTACAATATTACTAAAACGTAACTATTTCATTGTTAATTCATCTTATTTAGGCTAGATGGCGGTTATGTCTTTGTTAAAAAGCTACAATATAATCTAAGTTCTGGCGCAACGGCACCAAACTAGTCAGTTATGGGCAATGTGACATTTTAATAGGAAATGACACAAATACTTTTATTGCTAAATTATTACAAGCATAATAAATTATATAAATAAAAAAAAAAATATTTCTTATTATTATGTAAAATACGATTTGGCAGATTTCAATGACAGTTTCAGAATTTGTTGACATTTCAATAAGGTATTTTTTGGATCTATTATTATTAAAAATCAAGAACTTAGTGAAAAAAAAACTTATAATTACGGTGTGCCACAAGGCACAGTTCTGGGCCCCGTACTGTTTATTATTTACGTAAACAAATTCCTTCAAGTACAAAGTTTTGACAACAGTATATCATTTGTTGATGATACATTTTTTATACAAGTTTTCAATAATACAAATTATTTAAAACATTTATTATACTTTCATAATACGCGAAAAGCTTTTATGCTTAGAGATCTGCAAAAACACTTTACTTATTTAGCACCTAAATGTCAAAATATATTACAAAATCTAATATGAATCGACATAGTTTCAAAATAATTAAAATAATGGATCTAATCCCAAAACAAATAATTAATAATTTTAACATAAAAAAGACAAAAAAAAACGAAAAACAAAAAAAAAAACTACCAAAAAACAAAAATAAAAACAAAAAAAACACAAAAAACACAAAAAACAACGAACACAAAAAAACACAAAAAACAAAAAAAAACACAAAAAACAAAAAGAAAACACAAAAACACAAAAAACAAAAAAAAAACAAAAAAAAAAACAAAAAAACTCAAAAAACACAAAAAACACAAAAAATACAAAAAACAAAAAAAAACACAAAAACAAAACAAAAATCTCAAAAAACCCAAAAGAAAACAAAAAACAAAAAAAAATAAAAAACAAAAAAAAAACAAATAAAAAAAAAACAAAAACACAAAAAAAAACAAAAAATTAAAAAAACACAAAAAACAAAAAACCCAAAAACAAAAAAAAACAAAAGAACAAAAAATTTAAAAACAAAGAAACAAAACCAAAAAACAAAAAAAAAAACAATACAAAAACACAAAAACAAACAATACAAAAATCACTAAAAACACAAAAAAACAAAAAACAAAAAACACGAAAATACAAAAACAAAAAAAAAAACAAAAAAAAACGATAAATACAGAACATACTTGAATATTTAAATTTAAACAAAAAACAAAAAACAACAATACAAAAATCACTAAAAACAAACAAAAACAAAAAACCAAAACACAAAAAACAAAAAAGAACACAAATATCACAAAAAAAAACAAAAACAAAAAACGATAAATACAAAAAACAAAACTAAATCAATAAAAAATGTTAGTTTATATATGAATTTGAACAAAAAACAAAAAGAAACAAAAATAAACAAAAAAAAAACAAAAAAAAAACAAAAAAACAAAAAACACAAGAAATACAAAAAAAAACAAAAAAAAAACACAAAAAACAAGCAAAAAAACACAAAAATCACAAAAACAACACAAAAAACACAAAAACCAAAAAAACATAAAAAAAACAAAAAAAAAACAAAAAAAAAACAAAAAAAAAACAAAAAACAAAAAACAAAAAAATAAAAATACAAAAACAAAAACAAAAAACAAAACTAAATCAATAAAAAATGTTAGTTTATATATGAATTTGAACAAAAAACAAAAAGAAACAAAAAAAAAACAAAATAAACAAAAAAAAAACAAAAAAACAAAAAAACAAAAAAACAAAAAAACAAAAAAACACAAGAAATACAAAAAAAACAAAAAAAAAACAAATGAAAACAAAAAACAAGCAAAAAAACACAAAAATCACAAAAACAACACAAAAAACACAAAAACCAAAAAACAAAAAACATAAAAAACAAAAAAAAAAGAAAAAAATAAAAATACAAAAACAAAAAACAAAACTAAATCAAATAAAAAAATACAAAAAAAACTACTTAAAAATGTTGGTTTATATTTAAATTTTAATGTGTTTATTTAATTTTAATACTATTACAAGTATGAACAAAAATTATATCAAAAAATGGGATAATAAACTGAATAAGTCTGTTCTTATTTAAACCATATGCTTCGTTTGTTTATTATTATTTATTTCAAATAATTGATAATTAAATTTTCATTATCACCTACTAAATAATTTATGTCCATCATATTCATTGTTTCTAATATGATTTTGTCTTATGTTGATTGCATATATTTTTTTTAATATATTTTAATATTCTTTATCTTTTTTTTTTAAATTTGCTTTTATAAATATTAGGATTACCTATTTATCTATTAATAATTCGACTAACTGAAAATCGTTTGTCATAGAACCAGTTTTCCTGGACTATTTCGTTCCTCGCTACCATATCATCGCAGTTAGCGTAGATGTTGATCGTTGCCCTTGCACTATACTATAAATAACGCTGTTAATTATATCCGCACGTACTCTAAAACTGTAGACGACAAATGTTTTAAAAGAGAAGAGTATTGGCATCTCCGAAGTGTCTATAGACCAGTAAAAGTGACGCTCGGTTTATACGGAAAACCGCTAATCCACAAATTACGTTTTATGTTCGACGTTAAATGTCTAGTAAAATAGGTATTAAAATTGCGGATGATTTACACCCGAAGTGTTGTATGTAACATTTGCTACAATTATTATTTGTTAGAAAAATGGAAATTTATTGCCGAAATATTTGTTTTTTGTTGTTTTACCCTGTATATAACGTTATTCGACAAATTTACATCATATACATGTAACAATAGACGCAGAGCTGAATAAAGTATTAAAAGAGATTTCATACCTAGCACAATATTAACCTAAAGCAAGTAGATATTGGCTATTATTGTATACATTTTTTCCTGATTCTCCAAATCAATTAAATTACCAGAATCTTATATAACAGATCCATTCTTTAGAGTTAAATAAAACTCTGTCCAGTCCGAACTTAAAAATAAAAGCAGGAGTACCACAAGGCAATGTTTTTGGTCCTGTCTTATATTTACTCTATATACACGACATTCTAGATATGAGTAATCTAAAACCACCATATTTGCAGATGACACAGCTATTTTTTACCCAAATGTTACAAACTGCCACAGATAAATGCAATAAAAAGATGAAAATAAGAGTTAAATATAAATATATAAATAAAAGTTAAAAATAATACAAGACTAACTTTACAAATAAAACCAATAATAAAAGCATACCTATCAAAAGGGACTGAATCAAACTAAATGCGAAGCTGAGATGGAAGAGAGTGTGAAAAAGAAAGCAACGCCCATTGATAAATCCCGAAACAAAGTACTTCGGAACAACGTGTACAAACCATTATATATCCGAAACAAAAATGTGCATAGGGAGTTCAACTTGGTAATGGTTAAAGAAAGAAATTTGCTTAAAAGCAGAAGAGAACAAAATCAGGTATAATAGTTAGATGAAAGTGATTTATGCAGAGGACGTAGTTAA